TGTGTGGTGGGGTGGGGAGGGGGGCACCATAATAAGCCAACAAAATCAGCTGCCTGCCTCCTTGATTTCGGTAGGTCCCTACTTAGGATGCGAGGCTGAAGGAACTGGGCTTATTTAGTCTGGAGGAGAGTACTGGGGTGGGGGGGCAGGGGGGATTTAATAGCAGCTTTCGAATACCTGAAGCGGGGTTTGAAAGAGGATGGCACTAGACTGTTCTCAGTGGTGGCAGACAAGGAGCGGTGGTCTCAAGTTGAAGCTGTTAGGAAAAATTCTTTCACTAGGAGGGTAGTAAAGCACTGGAACAGGTCACCCAGAGAGGTGGTGGAATCTCCATCCTTGGAGGTTTTAAAGACCCAGATACACAAAGCTTTGGCTGGGATGATCTAGTTGGGAATGGTCCTGCTTTGAGCAGGGGGTGGACGAGATCAGGGGTTCCCAAACTGTGGTACGGGTACCCTTCAGGGTACACAAGACATCTCTGGGAGATATGTGGGAGAAATAGTATAATGGCAGATTTCATTTTCATTATAATAATTGGCATTTAAAGGGTTTAAATATAAAATGTATGCTGGTAGGGGTGTGCAGGCAGCTGATAAATCTAGAAGGTGGTATGCAATAAGAAAAAGTTTGGGAACCTCTGGACTAGATGATCTCCTGAGGTCCCTATTTTTCTATGATTCTATGATTGAACTCACAGGCTCCAGTTTTCACTTTTTGTTCTCCAGTGTGGCAGGCATATACCTGCCCCACTATCACACCAACTTCCACGAGGGCAGCTCAGAGCTTCAGAAGTTTTATACTGCTTGTGATATGAGGCTGGAATAAATGCAAGACTGCCAGCTGCATTGCTAATACTTCCAGCTGCATTCCAACCCTGCTAGGACACAGCAGTTGTATTACGTTGTAAATAAACAGAATTGCTTTTTACTGCTTTGTCTGGCTGTTTTTTAAAAAACCCCTGAAGAGCTACTCTGCAGGCATGCCACTTCTTCAGAGTACTACAGAGTATCCTCAGGCCCTATAGACACTGTGGCACAACCCTGCCTTTTATTACTTTGAGCCACATATTTGGGGAATGAAGAGCATTAGTCTATGTACCCAGATTTAATATGCCAGTGTTGGGAAAGATAATTGTGGGTGCTGACACAGGTACTTAATATGATTCCAGAAAGGAATAGCCTTCCCTCTTCCAAGGAGCTATTGGTGAACTCGGTAAATGGCACCTTATGTATATCTAGACAGAAGCCTAACCAAGTGCCCAGATATCAGGCCATATCCACATGAAGATCCTTCCTGCATATTAGCACTATATTAGAGGACAAGCCTTCTGGAGAGCTTGGTTGTAATTCTGTTCTGGGGATATGGGTGATTTGTGATGCCTTTCTTTGTCTAGCAAGCTTGCACAGTAGAGAGCAGGACTTTAGCTGTGCTAGCAGCACTCATGTTTGCTATATGGACAGGAATCATTTTGACTGTACCGTGGTCTCATTACCATACTAAGCCCCAAAGGGAGTCCTCAGACAACTTTTAAACTGTTTTTAAAGTAATGTAAGACAAAGCAAGCATTAGAAAATTGGAGCAACCCAATTATAGTGCAGTAATAATCTTAAAAAAAATAGTGACTCTGGCCATAATCTGTAGCATCCTGTTTGTATTTCTAGCTCTATGAAAGTAATCAAACAAATATTCAGAGGAAAATAAACACTAGAAACATTAGAGGGTAATAAAATCACACACAGGAATCCATGAAGAAGAAAGCTTGTCAGGCAAAATTAAAATGACGTTCCTGATGGACTGAAAGTGACTGCAAGGACACACACACATGCCTATGACTCTGCTGCAGCTGTTTAGCAGAAAAAATGAATATTCTTCACTGTGTGTTTACTTCTCTGGATAAGATCCACAGAACTGGCAGGGATGGGTCAAAATATGAGCCTCATCCATTACAACTCCAGCCTGACTTAACTCCATTCCCTCCCTTGGACGCATTATGTGGGGCTGCCCTTGAAGCCCACCTGGAAACTGCAGCTGGTGCAGAATTTTGACAGAGGTTGGTTGCTAGAAGCACATTCCTCCAGTGCCCCAGCATCAGCACTGGTTCCCAGTAGCTTTCTGGGAGCAATGAAAGGTGATGATTTTGGTTAGATATGTAGGGCCATAAATGGTCTGAAACCTACTTATCTAAGGGACTGCCTTCTCCCTTATGCCCCACTGAAATCCCTAAGGTCAGCTGAGAGCAACCTTTTGCAAGTACCATCAACGTGCCAAGTCCTCTTGGTGAAAACATGTAGAAGGTCATACTCAGCAGTTTCTATGAGGCTTTGGAACAACCTTCCTCTCGAGACGTGCTAGACTCTGGACATCTTTTGGAAGAGGTGTAAGACCTTCCTATTTGGGCAGGCATTTAACAACCAAAGCTAGGCTGGGATATTGGTTAGGGTGGCTGTTTTATGTCGATGCTCTAGTTTCCCTTTTAAATTGTTCTGCTGTCTTGTTTGTTCTCCTGTTTTACAGTGTATTTTGTTCTCTTATTGCAAGCTGTCCTGAGTCTGTTAGGAAGGGCAGCATGCACATCAATTTAAATAAAATTAATATGTAGCCCTTAGATCCTCATGGGGAGTGCTCTAAAGGCAAACCTGCAGCCTGTGAAGTGGCAGATCTCAGCATGGGGGAGACAGGGTTTAAGTATACCCTGCCCGTCTGCATCAGCAGGGATACTCCAAATCCAGAAGCGTAGCAGTGAGGATGCTCTGGGCTCATCTTTTCAGAACAGTTGCTAGAGATGTTCTCCAAGTAGCCTTGCCACTGCATTTTCAGGTTTGTGACATGTCTGTGGACTCAGGTGGATAGGGCATGTTTGGGTCCCTGTGTACTAGGACCCGCCACTGCAACAGGGTAGACCATCCCATAGATGCCTGGGAAGGTAGTGCCACAGAGTCACCAAAGGTCCTCTCCTGGAGGGGAGACCATTTTCTTGGAGTACTTACAGTTAGACATGACAACATACTGATGAGTTTGCAGTTAGGAATAATTTTGCATTTGCAGGGAGATGGAACAACTGATCTTTACATCTCTTCTATCTCTGACGTCTGATTGCCCAGGAAGTGGGCTCCTGGGATGCAACAACTTCCATTAGGAATTGTTTTTGGTCAGGGTAACTCCAGGAAAGGTTTCCTGGACATTCTGATACAATGTTTGCAATACATTTTACTATATGCATAGTATATAGTATTGTTTCTTGGCTTTTTGGCTCAATCAAATTGGACTTTTCTGTGCTGTCACTGTGGCAGAAGACTGATGCTCTTAACACCTTCCTCATCTTATCTGTCCTGAAGATGCCTCTAAAGAAATGGACAACAAGATCACACAGCTGCCAAAGGCAGCAAGATGGGACAGCTGCCAAAGTGGATGAAACTTCAGCAGCAGGCCAGCAACAAGCTCCTGTACATCCACTACAAGCAGGTGAGTGCCAATGTCCTTTCCATGCGAGAACTGTGCAATATCACAGCCTATGGCTTTCACTTCCTGACTTACTCTAACAAACTGCTGAGGCGTGTTGCAGTAAACGTGCTGAGAGGCCACCACAAGGAGGATCACCAAGTTATTGCCTAGTGAAGATCTGAAAGTATTCTCGAGCAGGTCGTGAGAGAGTGACTTCAAGTGTGATGGTTGGGTTTGCTTTGCTGTGGAGCCAAGCATATAATAACAGACCTGGTATTAACCTTACTCAATGCCTCAGGAAGCATATTGGCTGCTGCTAGAGGACTGCCAAGATGTGAGGACTGGCAGTGGTGGTGGTGGTCTTGATGCTCCTAGGCCCAGCTGGCAGCAAGATGACTGTCACCCCTCCAGTGAGGACCAAGCTGAAAGTCATACGGAAAAATACAATGCTCTGAAAAGGAAACCCCAACAGGACAAGTTCTGTGAGGTCACCTCTAAGTGGTATTCTAGCAACCGCTACCTGTCTTGAGGAAACTTCACTGGCTTTGTGGACTGGTGGTTCATCCAGAGAGTCTACCTCATCTGTATCCCCTTCAACAGTGCCACGGCAACTATGACAAGAGATGTTGGAGATGCAGCTTCAAGAACAAAACCAAACCCCACATGAGAGTGTGGCAGTTCTGACACAATACTATACAGACCAGCTGATTACGACCATCTTGATGTCAGCAGAGACTGTGCAACAGCCTGCTAAGACCAGATATTGTTGCCAGCAATGGACAACAGGGAAATCGTCATCATGGATGTGACCATTCTCTTTCAAAACCAGTGGCAGGCTTCTGCGGAAGCCCTAAACTGCAAGCTTGCCAAATACATCCCTTGGCAGATACCTCTAGGGAGAAAGAGTATATGTTACAGTGCAGGTACTGATTGTCAGTGCTCTCAGTGTGTGGGACCTGAGCAAGGAGAACTTTCTGAAAACCTCCAGAATTCCCTGATGGTATTCTGAGCTGATGAGGTGCCTGATGGTATCAGATAGTCATGGGATATTTACACTGAATACATAAATGGCTATTGACAATTTGAAGAGACCCAAACCAGATCACCTGCCAGAAATAATAAAGGGGGAGAGTAGACTGAAAAGGACACCTCTCTTCTTGACTACAGACTCAAATAGAAGCTGCTTAGACTATAGTTTGTGCTTTACCAGGGCAAATGTAGACCACATGTTTAATATATTGCTTGGAAATATCTTGTTATCTATTTCAATTTGGTAACAATGTAGCTACCATACCCAGAATTCCCACTGACAGTCCTGTAACGTGATAACATTGTATAACATTTTCGGAGTAAAGTTTTTATGGTTTTTAGTATGTATGGCATATATAAGATCTAACATGCATAACATAATATTATAACATACAAAGACCTGACAAAGCATGTCTTGCATTTGAAAGCTTTGTCTAACCCTATCCGAACTATATAGTTGGTGCAATAAAAGATATCATCCTAAGAAATCCTTGCCATTCATATATACACACTATATAATATATACATACTGTACATGTTTATATGAAGCACTGGTGGAAGTTCTGCTTCTGTTGAAATAAATGGGAAATAAAGATGGTGGTGATTATTATTTAATAATATAGCATGTAGAAGGAGGCCCAATAGGGGTTAGGACAACATTATGCTAGGTGCTTTATAAATGCAGAACACAAAGATAATCCTTGCCTTGGGTAGTTTACAATCTTGCCACTGATTCAGTTTGACCAGGACTTCAGCATTAGATTATTGCATGACACGAGTTTCTCTGCACATGTTACATACAAATCCAGAGAAACGTGTTGTTAATCCAGATGGTCTATTTTCCTGTACACTGCTGTCAAACACCTATATTTGAACACCAATGTCGCAGTACTGAGTGTTGCTTTTATGCAACACCAGACCAGAGTTTTTTCCATATATGTGTGGATGGGCTCCAGGAACTAGGGTAATGAGTAATTCGCCAACAGGAGGGGCACTATGCGTGCTTTCTGGACAGACACCAATAATCAACCATAGGAACACTTCGCATGCTTAACAGACACCAACACATTGCACCAGTATCATTCTAAATAATATCACTGCCATAACAATTAACAAGATTACAAACATTAAAACAAGATATACCACTACTAAAAGAGAAAATGATATGAAATGCAACAAACAGGAGAGCTTTAGAGAACTATGCCCCTTGTTTGCATGTGTCAGCAGCTGCCACTTCCTACAATTCAAAGGCAAAACCCTCTCAAAATCTGTTGTACACTGTGTGTACAACAAAGTCAACGAGTAAGGTTAATCGCTGAGCTTTAAGTCTGCCATGAAGAACTCTACAATTATAGTGTTTACAACAGGATAGTGATTACTGTTTTTCATGTACCATTTTCCATATCTAAAATTCAGTCTATTAAACATATATTAATTCAATTATTCCTTCTTATTGCTACAGTCTGTATACTCACAGAGAGATCTAACCAAAACGCCAAGTTCCATGCCGCTGAATTCATTCTGCTTCTCTAAATATATAACCCAGAATTTAGTCTTTAGGTCTAAAGTTGATTTATAGTTCATCATGGTATGATTAGTTCAGTTAAGCAACAGCTTTTACTTATGACATTCTAGTTACATTTCTTTCTTAGGCTTCATGCTGTGTTGTGTTTTTAATTGTGTGGGCTCTGGAGAGACGAGACAGAATTCAGTTGTACTGAATGCAAAGGGTATTTTTAATGAGGCTGCTGACCCTGCAGTTCTCCCTCATTCTTTAGCAATAAGACTGACTAGCTTGGTCTCTCTAAGTCCTGGCCTAGATTTCCCAGTAATGGAATGGACTGACATTGGCACATCCCTCTTTTGTTTCAATTAGTGTTAATCTTCAAACCCTGGTTCTCAACAGATCACTGTAATTATGACCCACCCTTTTATGACTACATGGGAAGAGGTCTGAAAGCATTTTTTTTCTGTTGTTACTGCGTCATGGTTCAGAGAAGGTCGTATGCATTCTGTTTCTTTTAATTAGGAACGTACATTACAAAAGGGATCATACCTTCTAAATGTGCAAATGATGCTGCAAAGCAAGTCCTTCACTTGTGGTAGATAGCTGTGGTTTTAACTCGTACACAGATCTGCTCAGCTCAGCTCAGCAGAACTTAGAGCTACTTCAGTCAAAGTGCAATGCCCATGGACACACTCTCGAGGTCCGCTTAATTCATCCCTGATGCTGGAGGCTAGGTGCAGGGTGATATAGGTTGTTTGTGTCAGCTGTAAATTGGCTCAGGACACCCTTTACACAGAAGGTGTCTTTTGGGAGTCATTTCCAACCACTTTGAGATCCCTTTAGACTAACAAAGTGGCATAAAAAGGTCCTGAATTAATTGATAGACATGTCCACGTATGTCCATTTTACCAGGAAATAGCTTATCAGAGGGTTATATTATACTCTTTCAGATGTAGCACAAGTCTATGTTACAATCTCTGGAGTTATTTACAAGACAAATATTGTACTCATCATTTTCCTCTACTCTTCAGCTTATTACTGTAGTCAGAAATACAGTGGATTTTATGTTACCTCTTGTGTTATAAAGTGCCCTTTTTCTGGACGGTGATTTTGACATGGGTCACTTGGCAAGAAAGAGGATGGAATGCTTTTTTTCTGGAGGATTACTGTAAAACTATCAATATGCTAGAATCTGGAACTAATTTGGTACAGTCTAATACCAGACACCTGTAACTTGTTTTATGAGGAAATGTGTATTTGGGCAAAATTGGTAAACATATCTGTGCATATTTATCAGTGTTTCAGTTCTTAATTATGTTAGCCAAAAAAAAGAAAAGAAAGAAAGAAAGGAAAATCCATTCTAACAAGGACAAAGAATATAAAAATATGAATCTAAGAGCAAACATATATTGAGACAGACATTGAGCAACAAATACATATTCAGATGTTACTGGGATGTGGACAATTTTGGTTGCTCAGTTGTAGAAATAGAAGTTCTTTAAAAGGGATATTTTACAGACACGTATTTTATGAAGAGATTCTTTGCTCTTCAGCAGTTTGTCACAATAGTCATGACATGAGTTTTTGAAATTCCCTTTGAGCATCAACTTTGCTTTATGTACTGGCACTAAGATTTGCCTTCTCTTTTGTCCAAAGTTTGTCTGATGTCTCTGGCTACCCTGGGAGTGGGGGGCGCCAGGACGGGGCGAAGTCTCTCTCTACCAGTGTGTTGGTTCTAGATAGAGCTAATGCAGACTCAACTACAGGTAAAATGGAATTAAATGTCTGAAGATCTCCAGCCACTTCAACAGCTCTTCAGTCTTGCTGCTGTTCCACTTGTTGTATTTGGGAAAACTAGTGTAGTACTTAACACATGACACCATGGGTGCATCCAGCATTTTGGAAAGATCAGTGACCTGCGTTGCAGGGGTGGCCGCACCCCAGGTCCCAGCCTTCTCCCACACACTGGGTTGGGCGGACTGCAGCAGGAACAGCAGCGCAGGACTTTGAGCTCCTCAAGTAGGTAAGAATCTTCCCTCCCCGCTCCCTTCCCCTCTGCTCCCCCCCACCCCCCTCTACCCTGCTCACCACTGCTGCTGTCCCCAGCTGACCTGGGAGAGAGGAAAGGCTGCACCACACCTGCTCTGGGCAGGGAGGAGGGACCTGCTCGCTGGTGCTGCTGTCCCTGGCTGAGCCTGGCTTCATGTGGAACCCAGCTGGAACAGGCAAGAGCAGCTCTGTAGTTCCCCCCTCAACCCCACAACTGGGTCAGCCAGCGACATCAGTAGCAATGAGTGGGGTAGAGAGATCGGAAAAGGGAGGAGAAATGTGCCATTGAACACAGAGGGGAAGGAAGAGGGGAATTCTTACTTGCTTCGGGGACTTAAAGTCTGTTGCTGCTCCTGCACCATGCTTGACTGAAAGGGAATGCATCCACGCCATTGCAACTCCCAGATCTGCCCCTGCACAACACTTCTTCAGAAAAAGCACTGTCATCAAGAGGCAGGTTTGTTTCCAAAGTTGAAAGAACTCCTTCACAGGTGTCCAGAACTTATTTTAAGAGGACCTAGGCAATAAATCCACACCACTTGCATATTTCACCAAATACTTCACACGTGCTATACAAGACATCCAAGAGGTTGAGGTGCTGAGGTGTCCATCAGATAACACCTTTAATATTCTCTTCATCCAACGTCCAATTAAGCCCTCATCCACAACTTGTTTCTTCTGAGACTTTGCAACTCTTTGACTGTCCCAATGGTTACACAATTTTCTTTCTCCAGTCTTTTGATAATTCTCTGGAAAATGTTAGCTAACAATGAAGCAAGCACAAGCAAACCTCAGGTGCTCCTTAGTGAACCTCTGTAGTGTATTGTGCTGCAGCATAACCAAGAATAGGCAAGAAGCATCACCTCTATGCCGCTGGTTCCCTGAGGAGGGAAGTGCTGGAATATTTTCAGGGGAGGCATGTCTCTCTCCCATCCACTTCACTTCTCTCTACCCTGCACAGTCCATGCAGCTTTCAGCAGCCAGGTGGGAAGGGCAGAGCAGCAGCTGTGAGGTTGGTACTGGATGGAGGTTTACTCCCTGGGGAAGTCACTGCTGCAGGGAGAGATGTTGGTTAATCTTCTTGCTTCTTTTTTTGGTGCAGAATTTTGGCTTTTTAATCACTGCTTGATACACATTTGGTGGCAGCTTCTGTATTAACCCCCGCAGAAGTGGCTTAACCTTGTGATGCCTCTGCTGGCTGCTGCCCCTGACTTGTGTTGCCACCACCCAGGGTGCAGAACCGCCCAACAGGTGTCTTTATTGCTGTGTCCCAGGACATTCTGATACGACGCTAAGACAGACTTGCAAACTTCTCTCAGTTTTTGCACTCAGATGGCATACATGGAAAGTCACTTGCAAATGTTCACAGCTTTGCTTTCCACATCAGTTGGCAACAAATCAGTAGCAGTTTACCCAGCATTATGCATTATTGCCCATCTTGTTCTGTGATAGCTTCCCTCTTGTACCAAACATTGTCTTTTCCTGTTAGTCATGTATATAAAGTATACTTTTATGTTATGCCTTCTTCCTTTGTGCCACCCTACCAGCCAGCACCTTCCCCTCCCAGCAGCAGGGACCTCTGGCTTCCACTGGGGAGCCAGCATTTCATTTTTATTAAGTTTTTTTGTTGATTTCATGGATTTTGCAGACAATCCTGGATGTTGCAGTTTCTGTAAAATTTGTGAAATCGCAGATTAAATAGGTCCCTAGTTATGTGCTTCTTTTTGATGGGGTTTTTTTTCAGTATTGGAATGAGCTAATCCAGAGGTGTTTCTGCTGCTGCCTCTGGCAGATGGGTAGCTTTGTTTGAATGCCGCGGGGTGGGGGTTGAGTCTGTATCGCATAAGAAGTATTGCACAAGAACTGAAGACCTCTTGATGTCCTTGTGGTTTGATACGTTCATGGCAGAATTCAGGAATTATTTTTAAGATACAGCTCAGCTCTGGTTTCTCACAAAGACAAAAGAGCCAGTATACTGGTTTGATTTTAGTATAGGGCAGCAGTTCAGAACTGGGAGTACATGTACACGTGAAGCCTCATCGGGGGTACGTGAGATATATTTCATACATTGTCTAACACAGGTTGAAGGGCCTAAAAAATTAAGCTCCCATTGAAAGCGGGTACGTGAAGTCTCACTTTGAGACCAAGGGGTACGTCGACTGAAAAAGGTTCAGAACCACTGGTATAGGGCAAGGTAAACTTGGGTTCAAACATTTTCCTTACAAACTTTGTGATGCAATACATTAGCTCAAAGCTTTGCAAGTGAACATGTTAGGCTCAAGTGTCCTCCTTTGCTGGCAAGATAAGTTCACCATCACGCATTTGATAATTTTTAAAACACGTTATTAATGATAAGCTAGAACTTTATGCTGCAAAAGCATTTTGATGCTGAGATGTTTTGGCATGTGTGGCTGTGCCCTTATGCCCTTTTTTTTCCTCCATGGACCATTGGAGGACTGTATGCTGCACTGCTGGAAGTATGCTTCTGTCTTCAAATTTCTCTCAAGAAATTGATGTTCTTTTTGCAGTTCTTTATTAAAACTAGTCTTCTTTTTCCCTAGCATTCTGAGTTTAGTGTTTCACAAGTAGAGCTTTTCTACAAAGTCTCACTGCCAGCTGACTACCAGAAACCAAAACATGACAACACAGGGAGGTGGAAGTTGCAACAAGTGCTGTCAAGCTGTCAAACTACACCACAGTAGTGGTGAAAGTCAACTATTATTTATGTCAGTTCTTCTGGCTGGCTATAAATTACCATTCAGCTATGACCAAAAAAGAAGTTGTGAAACAGGACAAAACTAGGACAAAGCTAAAGTTTTAGAACGCCTCCAAGGACACTGGGATATACAGTTAAAATCAGGATTTTCCTTGGGAAAAACCAGGATGGGTGGTATCCTTAACTTGGTATGATACCCCTGATATCAATATATAAAAAATATGCAAGGTCCTACACACAGCAATGGTATTGCACCTTAAATTAGATGCATTTCACCACTGCTGTCTGAATCCTAATTATTTCTGGAGCAGAAAATATTAGTCAGGCCATTTTTTGGATGATGTGGGCAAAGAAAAGATGAACATGAAACCTGATAACTTATTTTCTGTTATAGCCAAATACAGCCAAGCTTTCCAAAGGG